GGTTTATATTGATGAAATATGGATTAAGGGTTGGGTGTGAGGGTTTTCCTGGGTTGGGGTTGTATTTACTCTAGAAGGGGACTACGTTACGTAGGATGTATGAGAATATAAGGGAAAAGTTTAAATGGTTGGAAGGAGATGTGTTACGTAAAGGTGTGTGCAGGTATTTTATGGAGCATTGGAGGACTGCTTTGTCTAGGTTTGAGGGTGTTATAAGGTGGGTAATTAAGTTTTACATACTACTAGAATTTTGTAGCTAAAGGGTTATTGTTTCAGGTTGAGTTTGGGTTGTTGTTTCACCATCATTTTTACATAGTCTCAAGGACATGACAAGGCCTGCTGGGAGTGTGTTGGTCTTGAGCATTCGTAAGTTTTTCATGGGAGCATGCCTCCTTGTTGGTCATATAAACGGGTGAGTTAAGTTGTATGCGTGGGAAGAGTAGTGTAGTATAGTAACTTGTGTTGAGAGGGTATAGGGACTGGTGTCTGTTTGAGTCATGTTGAGAGGGTATAGGTGATAATGGTTTAGTATACTGTTATCTGTGATGCAATTTTGATATAAAATAAACTTTTTTTTACTTAGAAACTTGCTTAATCTCTTATTTTTAGTTTATTTTTATGAATAAGAGAGTTGATGTTATATTTGATGATTTTATCACTAAATTCTCCTGATTTTGTAAGTTATTGGAATGATTTGAAAGAGGAGTTAAAGTACTAAGGAGTTGGAATGCAGAAAAAGAGAAAAAGATGCAGTGCAGAAAAGTCAGGCTGAGGGCCCCCTCATAGGCCCTAAGCGCCAGCCAGTCAAGGTTGAGCGCCAGTCAGTCAAGGCTGAGCGCCCCTTTAGGGGCCATGAGCGCCAGTCAAGGCTGAGCGCTCCTTAGGGGCCCTAAGCGCTAGTTCTGTCGCAGTTTCGCCTGCTTGCCCCCACTTAGGGCACTGAGCGCTAACAACGTTGGCCCATGATCCAATTTTGATCTATTTAAGGACTTGCATGACCTATGGTTGGTATCTTTTGATGGCTACATCATAGAAACACATTTTTCCGTCCCTTTGGAGGGTGATTTGGGATGCGAGAGCTCTCCTATTCTCTTTTTAGGGTTTCTATCTCATTCTTCCATTGTACACCTAGTTTCTCCATGAGATGGAGAACTAATCTCATTTGTTGTTGGGGAAGATGTAACCTCGAAACTTTCATGTATTTGAATATATTCTGAATTATTTTATCTTCTTTCATAATTGTTAGTGATTTTCTCCTTTGCTCAATGTTAATTATATTTGGCTTTCTTTGTTATTGGGAAATACCTAGAAATCAGGATCTAGAGAATGTCATCCCAAAAGCAATATTGCCGGGATGGGATAGGATGTGTTTGTTGTTTAAGCTTTGTTCGTAATGCAGAATTAATTATTAGGGATGCAAGAGATGTGGTCTAATAATTAAGGATATATTTTCTTTGCCGAGGATCATGTTTTAAGAAATTTAGAGAGTGACTTAACAATTTAATGAAGAAGATGAATTCTTATATGCATGAAAGTGATTAGGTGAAACCTAAACCCCAACAACATATTCATATTATAACTTCATCCATCCATTCTAGTGTTTAGCCTCAATTGATCAATTTGCATTCATATTTACTTTTGTTGCATTTGCATTTAAAAACCAACAAAATATCTTTTCCGTCTTAATTAGTTAAATAATTACACAATTGTTTAGTACCGTGAGTCTCTGGGAAACGATACTTGTGTCTTACCATTTATATTACTTGATACGATTTGGTACACTTGCCGAGGTCTTAACAACAGATACTGGTGTGTGTTTGAGTTACAAAGTGAGAGGGTATTGTCTTGTGAATGACACTATGTGAGGAATGATTTTGAATGGGTTACAAGACAACAAGTTTTCGTGTGTGAAGTTGAGAATATGCGAGTTTATAGTGTGGTTGTATGTGTGTGGAGATAAGACATGTTGTTGGGGGGTCTCGTCGTACCTAGAAAATCCAACAATGACTCTTTCGCTTGTGCAAGGTAGTGGAAAGAGGTTCTTTTCACTTGTGTGAGGAAGTAGAAGAGAATAGTTTATGTGTCATACCTTCTTGCTTGTGTGATGCAATGGAAAGGAGAAAGACGTTTCATCATCGCTCATGCTCGTTGCTGAGTATAGTTCCCATTATGAGATTCGCCGAAGTTGTTACTTGTAAGTCCTTGAGAGGCAAGGGAAATATGTCTTGTTACGATGGAAGGACGACTCAAACTAGTCAGTTATGATGAATAGGTGGTATGGTAGGGTATGAGGGATTGACCATTGGTTTGTGGTAATGATGCATAACCGTGTTTGGGTTATTGGTGTGTTTAATATTGTAGTGAATATTTAACACTTATGAGTTATGTTATTCTACTTATGTTTGATTCTCAATTAGTTCATCCTTGTGTTTGTTTGTTTGTTGTTTGTATGCGATAATGTATAACTCGTGTCATTATATGGGAGCATATGATAATGCAGATAATTTGAATATTGTATAGCGCGATGAGTTGATTGAGAGAGTTCGAGAATTTAAGGTTTTGTTTTGAATAAAAAATTTATTAGATTTTTATTTTATAATAAACATTTTATTTTTGGTTAATGTAAAGATTTATTGAATTTATATTTCCGCAATGGTATTAAGATTTAAAAATTCTAAATTTTTACTCGTAATCATGACATCCTAAAATGGGGTGTTACAAACACCTTTTCCATTACGGGAGATCATCCATCTACTTCCTCACTTGGATACAATTTGAAAACATATCCTTCCTCTTGAGGACAAAACTTTGTTGTGTCTTTCCTTTTTGCACCTTATTCATATCACCTTAATCTAAGAACAAACCTTTATCTCATGTGAACCTCTTTACCCTTAATATTCCTTCTCTCAACTTTGATGTTATTATTGTTAAGAAGATCTAACCACTTCCTACTGATGTTGAACTTGGCATAAAACCCCTACGATACTTTATCCTCTTCAAAAAGACTATTTTCCCTTCCTGGGAAACACCATCCTACCTAATTAATCATCTAATCTCTACTTCATATAAGTCTTCCACACTACATATTAGTTTTCCTTATACACTTTAAGGTCTCTACCTTTTTCAACTTTAATCTCAAATCTTCCATAACTTTTCACCTTATGACCTCATGCACTGCTAAGTGTTAAATAAAGTTAATTACTCAAACTTACTATATAAGCGTGCAAAAATATCTTTCTTTATATTAACCATTTAAATCATTGGTTGGTCCTCGTGTTTATTCAAAATTCTCAATTAGGTCATTAAATTTTAAAAGGTCTCATTTAGGTCCTCGTTTTATAAAATTTGATATAATTTGGTCGTTTCCATTAGTACAATACTACTGACATTAACTCATGTGCCACATGTCAGTTTGCAGTTATTTATTTATTTATTTTTTCAAATTTTTTTGTCACATGTCAAACGAGGATCCTGCCATGTAGTAGAGACAGTGTGACCTGACAATAACAATGTCACATGTCACTCTTGGGATAAATCTCATGTGCAAAATCTAAATTTAATTCCTTTATTTGTATTTTGTCTCAATTTAGTCTACTTTTTTTTTAAAACTAGAGCGATTGCATCATTCTCTAAATTGAGACCAAATTAACTTTTACATAAATGTATAATGATACTTTTATGAATATTTTAACCATATTAAGTTTATTTAAATTTAAATTTTACATTAAACTTATTTAAATTTTGGTCCATATATTTATATATCAATAATTTGTATACAAATGTTAGAGTTTGTTTGAAAATAACAACATTATAAATTTAAATGTAAAATATTAAAATAGTTTTATAACAATTTAAAATAAATATATTTAAAATTTGAAAAAAAAAATTAAATAAAATTTAATGTAAAATATTAATTTAAATAAACTAATCTTATAAAAAATATTAATTTTAATAAAAATATCATCATAATAATTATAATATTTATATAAAAATTAAATTTTGTTTAGGATAAAATTGAGAATTATGACAAGACACATAACATTGTAATTATCACATTATGTGATATGATACTTAACAATATTTCTTTTTTATAAAAGATGAAAAATAAAATATAATTTAAAGAAAAACAATTAAAAAAATTACATAGACACATGAGTTATTAGTATTATAGTAAAAAAAGAGACTAAATTACGTTACATCTTTAAAAAAAAAAAAATCCCAATTAAAATCAATTAAAATCTGGTGACGAGATTTTCAAACAGTAGAGTAAGTGAATGTTATTTAATATCGTCCAGGCATGATAATTTTTACTAATTCAATAAAATATACCGGAATAACGGACTACAATTTAAGTATTTTATTTCTGTAGCATAAAATTTGGAATATTTGCCAGGACTTTTTTTTTTTATGTTAACTTGAGTGCAAATTAGATATATATTTTTCTTTGTTATGCAACCATGCTAACTATATATATTTGAATCATTAGGTAGATAATTAAACAAATTCAATTTAAACAAAAAAAAATATTATTGGAAGTGAAATACTCGTCTTAGAATTTTCTCAATCTTTAGAAAATATATTTAATACTTTTGGAGATCAAAATATATTTAAAATCATTTTTACAAATTGATATTGATTATAAAAATAATTATTTAAATATACTACCGTCGCAAAATAATTTCTGATCATGGAGTATTGTATATGATTAGAATCATGGTCTTTATTATAACTATTTTAATTTCAATATACTACCATTATAAAACAATTTTCATATACATAGTCAATAATTACTAGCTGAAAAAATTATATAACAACGATTTTAAATTAACACATATTATTATGCATAATAATTTATAACCGAATAACAGTTTAATAATAGCGTATATAAATGAAATCCTAAATATATTCAACATTTTAATGTGGTTTTATTTTTATTTTTATAAATCTGAAGTTCCTTTGGATGTAAAAGCATTTTGACTAATTGGACAAACAAAACAGAGTTCAGAGGTTTTCGTTTTTTTTTTTCTCTCTTTTAGTCTATGCAGCAGAAGCATCAATAACTCATCAGTCGCCAGGTCTGTTGGTTCCTCGTTTATGTTGTCTGGTTTTTCTTACTACGTTGTCGTCTGCCTTATAGAGTTTGTGCTTTGTTTCTTCGTCCACGAATCAGATCCCTGAAAAATAAAGTGTGTATTTTTATTTTTCTTGTTGCTGCATTCATATGTGTTGTTTCTGTTGATCTAGGTTTTATGGGGTTAGCTCATTTATCTTTTCTGATTTTACATGTGACGAAGTTGATGGGGACCTATTCGTTTTATAGCTCCTTGTTCGGTTGTGTAGAGTTCTGTAAAATAAATGTAAAAAACGGGGTTTTAGGTTTTAGGCAATTCTTGTTCAGTGCACTACCCAATTGTTAAAAAAACACCATGCACACTAATTTCCACTTGTTTCTTGAAGGAGTATGACGTCTTTGGAAGTATTTTAATAAATAAAAGTTATGATTTGCGGAGATATGTGGGGCTTGTATAGATATAAGTTACAAGTGCTTTTTGAGAGATTCTCGATCAGAAATGTAGAACTTTTTTTCCAGTAGAGAGGCTCTCAATTGTCTATCCAGCTTCGTATCCAAACATGATTATAGTCTTAAACAAGTGAAAGTTCATTAGCCGCAATAACTACTAAATATTTCAACTTGTTCTGTGGAAGGTATATGTTACCAAATTTTACATTTGGAATTACTCTAAAATTCTAAAGTTATAACTAGCTAATGTACTATTTCTGAATAAATGAATTTTAAGCCTAATTCGATCTTACAAAAAGATTGAATTTGCACTCACTTGTATACTCTATACTGATCTTATCACTAGTTAGGTGTGAAACCTCCAACAACAAGTGGCAGAATATTAACATCTTCTATTCATTTGTGCATTTGTCCAATTGAAAGAGTGTTCATCGTCCACACTGATTTAGGAAATTGTAGTTATGCTTGTTGTTTATGAGTCAAGTTTCTCTTGGTATCAGAATTGTAAACCAACCAAACTTCTCAGAAATGCTGTTTCTTGACATGGAATAATATTCGTTGATTGCACTTGTAATTTTGGTTACTTATTGTTGCTTGATAGAAATTTCAAAGAATACAAATGGCCCACAGGCGTTGCCTCTTGATAAGAGGGAACCTCATGAATCAAAAGTGCCACCCGTCTTTCAGTTATGTTCTCCACAGTGATGAAGAGAAACATGAAAGCACTGGCGAAAGGTCATCTTCAGCAGGGATTAGTAATTTTTTCCAAAGAAGGATGTTTGGGAACTCAGTGGATGGATCAATGTGGTGTTTTGCCTATTCTGAACATAGAATGTCTTCGAACAGATTCCTTTCTCCGAGCTCTGGGTATAATTTATATCGACATATGTCAACAACTAATCAGGGTTCCGATAAGATTGAAATAATGACTGACATAGCAGATGTTCTAAAAAACAATACGATGGAAGCTGTGAATTCTCAGGCACCTATTCTTAAAGAAGTTGCAATTGCCTCTGCTGATTCTGTTTTACCTGTGAAGGCCTTGCAGTACATTATAGATGCCATGCATTCCTACACTGGATTGAACTGGTAAGTTTATACTTATTTACCTCTATAGTTTCAGTAAGAGACATTAATTTAATCCTCATTTCTAAAATCTGCTTTAATTCTGAGGAATTTCCACAATATTACAGAATGCCATGCATGTCAAGCTGTCATTGGTGGATGGTTTGCTTTTATGAGATTGTAGGTTTTTGATTTTAACTATCAACTTCTGTGGTTTCTTAGTTACTAAGTTTGATTTACCATGCATAATAAGTACTCAAGCAATTGATTTGCCCCAAATATTAAGTTTTAAAATTCTCTACATGCCTAAAGAGTGCTCTTTTATGAGAGAACACAGTTACTTTATGGTGTAGTTTTTTCTTCCATAATAAGTACATGTGTATACGTATAGGTTGTTCCTTCATCTTAAAATACTGAATGCCATTTTAAATGGAAATACATTTCTTTCGTAACATTTCAAAGCTTATTGATAATTAAGGGGTTTTGGGATTATGCTAGCAAGGTTGTTCTTGGATTGGTGCCATTCAGGATTCATGTTCTGGGCCTAATTCTGGTGATCTGTGTCTTCACATTTCAACAAAGATAGGTGGCACATGGTACAAATCCAAGAAAGCTCATCACTCTATTACTTGATTGTTTCAGGTGGGCAGCCATAGTTATAACAACTCTCTTGATTCGAAGTGCAACAGTTCCACTCTTAATAAATCAACTTAAGGCCACTTCTAAGCTTACGGTATGTTTGCGGCTTGTAGCTTCATCACCTTTTCTTGCTAAATTAATGTATTTGCGATCACTTTTTTGTGTGTTCCTTTTGCCTTTCTTTCACATATATCTTGGTTGGAGGGGATAAATGTTAAACATTCGGATGGAACTGTTTCTTCTCTATCCCCTCTCCTCTCATTGACTTAAGATATTCTTAATACAAGTTAGTTAATTAGTTCTCAGCTGTACTCTCCCTATCTCTCTTTCCCATTTACTTGTGAAGGTCCTCAAGCTTGTAGTTATCAATAAATTATAACTTTTTCTATGTTCTATTTCATGTGTGTTGCAGCTGATGAGGCCTCACATGGAAAAAATAAAGGAAGAGATGGAAGATAAGGTAATACAGATATACATTTTCCAGTCAATTGTTTTTTCTTGTTAAGACAGTTTTAACTAATGGAATAGTGGATATATGATGTGCAATTGGTAATAGTGTCAGAATCAGATTCTGCTAGACATTGTTGATATGGTTACCAAGTCACCTCTTAATGGAGAAAAAAATAATGATAGAAATTACAACCATGTATTTTAACAAAATTGGATATCAAATGGAATTTTTTTTGTATGGACTAATAGCCAAATAGACTAATTTATCAAGGCAGAAAATATAATTAAGCCTAAAATTTCCTTACATATGGTGTATGCATGGTTCTGTTGCCCCTAAGTACTATTTTCTTGAAAGATATTTTATAATTGTGGTTTCATCAAGATTATGACATGATTTGTGCTACATAAACTAATACCTAAACTTAACTTCCATTTTTTTTTTCAGTGTGGTATTATCTTCTGTTCTGCATAAATATATGGTTGACTTTATCATTCAATAATTATACACTACTTGTATTTGTACAAAACAATGACTTTGGTTGCTGGATGTGAATTCGTTGTGCCTGTTGAGATATTGTTGGTATTTTCCCAATTTATTGAAATTTGAAGTTTTGGATTTTCTTACGTGTATGTTATAGATTGTTCTACCAGAAACCACATTTTCTATAATCACATCATTGATTCATCTTTCAGGCTATGGATCCCATTGCTGTTGCTGAAGGTCAGAAAAAAATGAAGATGCTATTTAAGGAGTAAGTTATTTTTCAATTTTCTTGGCCTTTTCAGGCTTTAGCTGGTACTAGTCATGTTTGATCCTCCTATTGATGTAATTACTTTGTTTGGCGTGATATGATGTATTAGAGGAGCAATCTTTTATTTGACTTGTGATATACTTAACTGAAATCAGTAAAATTGCCCTTTGTTATATGGAGCATAATGGCCCTTTTCTTATTAAATGGAATTTTTTTTTTTATATCATGCCACTTGTTAGATAGGTATACGTTAGGAGTAATAAAAAGGGGATGGCATTGCACAAGAGCTGGAAAGTAGTTAAATGTTAATAACCAACTTATATAATTGTTTAGAGGTTGTCAGGGACTACAACACTATTGTTAGACTGTAGGAAAGAGAGAGACATTATGTTGAAACTGTGTTTTGGAGACAACACAAATTCTTTATTTATATTGGGAAAAAGAAATCTTACAATAAATAGTGGGATTTTAAATTTCCTCTACTATTGAATATATGATACGACAATAAATATAAATGTTCCCAATAATACATATATAATCAATATATTATTGATTATTTAGTATTTTCTCCTTGTTTCTATAACTATAATATTCTCTCGCATGCTGGAGCATACAAATCATATATTTCTCACTTGTTGCAAATATAACCATCCTTGGTCCTCTTAAGGACTTGGTGAATATGTCAATAAAATGTTCACTAATGTTGACAAATGTTGTGGTGATGTCTCCAAACCCTAGTTTTTCTCTTATGACATGACAATCAACCTTAATATGTTTGGTCCTCTCATGAAAGATAGGATTAAAGGCAATGTGTAATGTTGCTTGCTTGTCATATATAAGGTGCATTTGAGAACTTCCATCAAATTTAAGCTATTTTAGAAGTTGTTTTAGTCATGAGTTCACAAATGAATAATGTCATTCCACTAATATTATCCTTTTGAACTTGATCTTTGTTAGATATATGGTCTTTATCTTATCTTTATCTTTTATATTTAGTTAGTTTGTTATTATTTCTTATTTGTATTTTGGGCTTAGCCCATATTTCTTCTATTATAAATAGAGGACCCTATGTGCATATTCAAAATAAGGGAGATTAATTTCATACATAGATTTTCACTATATTCAACATCATATCAGAGCCTAAAGTTCTTTTGAGGAAATTTTTTTTTGTTGCCTCTGCCACTACACCCGCTGTTGTTGGTGGCAGCGCCATTTACTGTTGTCAGCGGCACCATTGTCTACCGGCGTCATCTATCGCTATCACTACTGAAGTTCTGGTTTCGACCGATGATCATACGGTTTTTATCGTCTCGGCCATGTGACCATGATCACTACTGAAGTGATGCTGGAACAATTACGAAAACTGGGATAAAGTTTTGACAGAAAAAATCCTATGGTGATAGTGGATCTACTGGGCCAACATAGTTAGAAAAAAGACTTTAAATAGTAAGTTAAACTATAGGAAAGAGAGAAACTTTGAAATGAAACTGTGTTTATGAGATGTTTTAGGGATATGATAGGGAATGAATAAAAATGTTCTAAATAATACATTTGTAATCTAGATATTCTTGATTATATAGGATTTGTTTCTTATTTCTATAATTATAACAACTAAAAATAGAAGGAGTGGATGATGAGTATATTTTCTTCAGGTTACACTCACACGGGTATCATAAAAATCCTTGTTACATAGTTTGGTCAATCTTCTCTCTTCTCTTCCATCCAATTGAATCTATGAATGTTTTATCTAAAGCTACATGCAAATAAATTAAATATTTAAATTTCTTCTATTGCTTAGCTGTGTAACCATTGTATATATGTTAGAAGACTAGTTATTGCTAATATTTGAAAACTGACATAACTGGCCTGGATGTCTCACGAACTACAGTGTTTTAGATACTAATTTAAACTTCTTGGATCTTTTCTTTCACTAGCTGTTAATTTCCTCACTTGTTTGATAATCTAGATATGGTGCAAGTCCATTTACTCCATTGAAGGGGCTCTTTATTCAAGGTCCTGTCTTTATTAGTTTCTTCCTTGCGGTAAGCTGGCTTTTAATTTTGTATTTTCTCTAACTTTAGGAGTCTGAGGAACCTATCTATTGTTTCAATTCATTATAATTTTTTTGTTTAACAATAGATAAGAAACATGGCTGAAAAGATGCCATCATTCAAGGATGGCGGAGCCTACTGGTTTGTTGATCTTACCACTCCAGATGCATTGTACATTTTGCCAGTTCTGACTGCATTGACGTTCTTAATAACAGTAGAGGTGACCATTATCTTTTCAGAACCTTTCATTTCAGTTCACTTTGTATTATTGACAGTCTGAGTTTCTTACCTGAATGTTTGTGCGTCCTCAGTTTTCTGTTATGAATTTATCCTGCCAAAGAACTAAAAAGAATGAGCTGCTTATAATACCTGAAAGCCTAGTCTCAATTGAAGAGGAATGAGTGGTGTTATATGTTAGTTTTTTTACCCAATTTATATTCATTGATTTCACATTATTTCCAGTGCAACATGCAAGAAGGCATGGAAGGAAATCCAGCTGCTGGCACCATGAAAAAAGTCTCGAGGGTTCTTGCTGTCCTTACAGTTCCTTTTACCATGGGATTTCCGAAGGTAAGATTTTCCTTATCTTGTTTGACGACAAACAAGTTCTCATTGCTTTTCATCTTGTCAGCATTTAAAATAATTTATTTATAAACTTAGAATGATATCTAATAGTTCTAGTAAAGTTTGTTGTCAGTGAGTCTCCTTCGTTTCTGATTTCTGCAATGGTTGGGGAACCTAGAGGAACAAAAGAGTGATACGGAGTGTTGAATGTTGTTTTCGGGTCGGGTTGGGTCTTGCTTGGTGTTAGGGAGGAATTGTTTTGGAATCGGTTTGGTTTCCTAGAGTTTAGATTTTGTTGATTTACATGGGCTTTGGTTTGGTCCTCCCCGTTGCTGGCTTTGTTTTATTTTCTTGTTTTAGTAATATGAGAAATGTCGAACTTTAAAACAAAAATCTTCATCTTTGGTTTATGAAGAGACATTTCTGTTAGAGACTTAGACCTAACAATGTGTTTCTTTTTTTTTTGTAGTTTTATTGGATATAAATGGTTTATAAATTTTACAAACTAATTCTGTTAATGAGACCCCATGTATCCTAAAGTATTGATTGATGAAGTATCCTAAATCATTGATATAGGACGTATACGT